TAAGGTCAGTTTAGTGCTGAAGGTCAACCCGGATTTTGGTCCTAGTAGTCTGAGTAATTGTCCAAGTCTTCTGTTGAGCTGTTGTCAGTTAAGTCTTGTGTGGGGATTCCACGTCAGTCTGCTGTCAAGGTATAGTCCTAGGTATTTGACTTGATTGGAAGTAAGTATACCTTCATTGTTGATGTATAGTGGAGGGCAAGACTGCTTTTTCAAAGTGAACGTACATTGGATACACTTTTCTCCGTTTAACCTTGTCCTCCACTTTTTGCACCAACCTTCGATGAGCTCAGGGTGTTCTTTGATATTAGAGGTAGCTTGGGTAGGATTCAAGTTAGAGGATAAGTAATAGTAATAAAATAATTTGTTGGAGGAGGTCGTGAGGAGCGGTCAAGAATAAGGTAGTTTAGAATAACACTTTTACTTTTTTGCTGTCGTTTCTACCTTTATTCGGGTCATCTTCTACGTGAATTGCAAAACATATATTGATTGGGAAAAATAAATACGATGTAAATATAAATTTTGAACCAAATGTTTTTTACTCACATAAAGTGTGGTGCTATTCTTGTGGTGTCATATTGGTGTTGTGTGAAATTGTTGTGAAACGTGAATAATCCCAATCACTTAAAGACAAACAATATTCACGTCGTCCACACAATGAAACACAAATTAAGTAATTTCTCTCCTCAGAAGACATTAAAATAGCCTTTAAAAACCACAAAACACCGCACAAACGTTTTTCCAATGTCGAAGACAGCCTACAAATCCAATGTAATTTATAAACTTAATTGTATGAAATGTCCAGCACCATACATTGGAATTACATCGCAATATCTGAAAAAACGAAAAAAAACATCATGAAAAAACACACTAATAAAATAAATAAATTGATAAATTGTAATATTACTTGCCATTTAAGTGACCAAAGTGATGAGAAAAAAGTGTAAAGAGTTGAAATTTAAGTTTAATTTTTAAGAGTTGTATGAAGTTTTGTTTTCGATTTCATGTATAAATTGTAAGCGTGAGTGAAAGCTATTAAATGTATCAAATTTAGTTTGAATTTGATCTGATAAAGATCGAAACGTTAACACGATAAAGAAAATGTTTTTCTAAACCTACATTACACAAGACCGCATCTCACGATCTCAAAATAATCAATTTTAATAAGATTTAATTTTTTCTTAATTTTGTTTTATATATTATCAGTTTATCACATTTCTGTATTTAAATATTTTTTTTAAATTGGTTTTATTCCGTTCTTACTTAAAATATTCATATTATTATTAGAAGATATCCACGTTACGGCACTAAATAACTGTAAATATGTAACTTAAATGCGTTTAAGTTTTTCATAACATAAACTATTAAGTCGGTAATAAATATTACTATTAAAAAACATAAGCAAGTTGAAAAAAAATTTTAGTGGCCCATGAGGGGATCGAACCCGCGACCTTCGCGTTATTAGCACGACGCTCTAACCAACTGAGCTAATGGGCCAGTCGGTATCCTACCGCTTCTATCCTCCTCTTAGCTCCAACTCTTCAAGGATTTTTAAAAAATACAACTGACACACTACACGTACGTATTTAATATTCACAATTGACCGTATTAATTAATTAAATTAATTATACTTTTTATCCAAGGTTTAAATCAAATAAAAAAACAATAGTATATATATTTTTTACGGAATAAATCAAATTGACTATAGAAAATATTATAAGAAAACTAAGGAAAAATTAAACAATATTAAATATATTTATAAAATTAGACAGAGTTAAAAATATTAAACAATAGTAAATGTATTTCAAAAATTAGACAGTTATAAATTAATTAAAATATTAAACAATATTATTTAACAAGTAGGAAAATAAATAAAAAAGAATGATTTTATGAATACAAATAAAAAAATATTACATTTATCGTTGAATATAAATTGTAGAAACAAGTAGTTAAATTATTATAAGATATTTATGACGTATAAATAATAATAGAAAATAATTACATAACAAAAATATCTTTTATTAAGTAAGTAAAAATATTAAAGTATTATTTTTTTTCTAATATACTATATTAGAAATAAAATAACGAAATAAAACAATATTTATTCCTGGAATAGACGTTAACAGAGTGAAGGGCAAAATTATTATATGATAAGAAAATATTCAGTTAAGGTAATTTATTATTTTATCAGAAATAGTAATAATAATTATTATTAAATTTCGAGTGATTTAAAGGAGTTACTAGGACCCCAGTGTTTGTTTTGAAAAGGACTTTTCCGCTTTCTTAAATTTATTGTAATTTTGGAATTTATAATGAGATTTAGCCCTTTTCCCAGATTCTTCTACTTTTGAATGTTTGTCAAGATTTCTTCCTTTTTCTAGGAATTTTTGTGGCTGCCGGAGCGGAAATAATGAAATAAAAGAAAATACAAACTGTTCCCAAATAAACTACAATGCCCAAAATCGCAATTTAAATTAGACAAAATAGCTCTCTCTCTTTCTCTCTCTCACTCTCTCTTAAAAAAACAAAAAAAAACAGTGTATTTGAAGGGTAGAAAAAAGGACAACGATGAGCCTGATGGGGACTGTTGCTAGTCTGACGATAATATTATTATTGGCCATAAAGCTTATGGGAAATGTGACTGATGGTGAGGGCCTGGGATTTATAAACATTGTTTAAATTTTACAAATACATGTAGGATGTGAAAAAATGAATTTATACAATTATAGAAATTTTAGATTCAACAGAAGTGTTTGTGCTCACTCAAAGTGTTTGTTTTCTGTGTATATGTGTACATTACGACCCACAAGAATGACACGTCTACAGAGAAAATAAACACTTTTAGCCCTGAAGATGATCTCAATAAAGATCGAAACGTTGCTACGATAAAGAAAATGTTTTTCTAAAACTTACGTCACACCAGACCGCATCTCATGATCTTCAAATAACCTATGGGAAATCTCTAATTATGGAACAAAAATTCGAATTTATAATTAATAAACAGGAATAAATTTTATAATTTAAAATGGTATTTTGCACAAATTTGGACCTTCTAAATTAAGTACTTTAAAAAGGATTAAAGGTTCGGATTGCAATCCGTACGTAAGCACTCAGAAAGGTTATAGCTAGGTTCTAGCTTAAGGTAGAACGTTTAAATATTAGTGCGTGAAATGACAGCCGGTAAAACAAAAATTAAAAATTAATCATAATAATAAATGCATTTTATTAATATTCACAATACAAAAAATATTACATAATATAATGAAATAGTATTACAAATACAAACTACATGGACTTTATCCGTTTGTTGGAGTTTTGACTCAAATATGTTGAAAAAACAAAATTTTAAAAATAATAATATATGTGCCTAACTAAAAGTTGAATTCTTCAATTAAATTTTGTCTGTAATTATATGTTTGCAGCACGTCACTGACTAAATTTTTCTCCCAATTCAAATAATTAATGGTTTCTTCCCACTACATTTTTCTTTTCTTTTTTGAAACACCTTTCACGGTAGTATTTAAAAATTGGACTTTTAACATTTTATGTACAACATAGAATTTTGCTGCAGTTCTAGTAATATATAAATTTGCCATAAAATTTTTTTTAAAACTTTTCCTAGTAGTTGATTTTCATAATTACTGTTTTTCGTAGATCCTCGCTTTTATAAAATTCGATATAAATTTATTGTAATCCATAAATTAGATTTAAGGAGTTAGGTTTGTTTGCATGACAAGCGCCTGAGAAAATAAAACCAATTTTCAAAACCTGCATTAATTTTGCATCAACCCAATAGTTAAATGATATTCCATTATTTATTTATTTTTAATTAGAAACAACATAAAATTAAAATATGCATATAATAGGTACATCCTTTTGTCGAGCTTTTAACCACGGAGGGAAATTTATAATATAAATATTTTTTAAGAAAAAATGTGTGTGTGTGTGTGTTTCTAAAATTCTGTCGTCCATAAATTTTCCTCCGTGGTTAAAAGCTCGACAAAAGGATTTACTTATCCCACCAAGATGCCACTGAAAATCTTAATAAATAAGGCAGATTTTCTGAAATTCGCCAATCTCCCAGCGGCTTTGCCACAGAGTAGTGAAGTTTCGAAATTCTTTTGTGGATTTCCACTAAAAAGTACAACCAATCTCGAAAAAAATCAAGAAATGACAAATATAAACGTGTTGTAAACTGCACTGCTTTATGATAAGCTGAACATTGATAAATAAAAAATTTAAAATTAATTAACAAAAACTATATCATATTACAAAAAACGGCAAATCCGTTTGAATGTATTATTTTACGCATGTTGCAATAAAATATATTTAGCTATTTCAGAATATTTTACGTTTATAATAAATCTCTCCAGAATTCCTAAGTAATTTTTTTAGTAAAATAATATTATTGCATCGTAGTACTTAAATATCTTTATAGACAGAAATTTCACTAAATAGGGCAAAATAATTGACAATTATTATTTTTCAGATTTTCTCGTTTTTTTTTTCTCCTTATACGTAAAATAAACTAATACCATTAAAAAATATAAAAATACTTTGTGAAGTTTTTTATTTTAAAAAATTTTTAGTTTTTTAATTTTGTTTTCATTTTTTATTTAAATTTTTCTTTATATATAGTTTTTTAAAATATATATAACCAATTTGTATCGACAACCTGCATGGCCAAGAATAAAAATGAAGAAAAATTTAAATTAAAAAAATAAGATTTTGATGGTGGGTGTAAATTTCCGAAACGACCAAAAATTAATGTAAAATATAACAAGAAATCATTTTGAAAAAAACACCTGGAAAAGTTTTTTATAAAAAAACCCGCAAATTATAAACATAAAAAAGACACTAAGTCTTCCAAAAATCCATGTTACATAATAGAAATTAAAATAATATATATATAATCTTTTTTAAAAAAGGCAATTTTTTTGGACAATTTGTATATAATCCTGTCATGTCTGTATATGATAATGAAATATATTTTGTTGTTTCAGAATATTTTACGTTTCTCACGACTCCCAGGACCTGAAGATTTTTTCCTACATAGCAAGAGATTCTAGTAATGTTTTTAAGTGCAGTGTATTCAAATCTAATAAAAAGGTAAGAGAGATATTATTTAAAATATAAATTTCCTAAAATAACTTACCATTATATTACATTGCAAAATTAATCGAACAATCCCTACAAATTTATAATAGCCTCTTATGATAGTGAAGGAAAGTTACTGAAATTAATGTCGGTTTCGTAGGCAGATTGTGCCTGGAAGTAAATTCCAGAACTCCCAGATAAGTCCATTATCTTCCGAACAAGTGAGCCGCCCAATAACTAAAGCCTTCGGCCTATAAATAAGTCGTTTTGAAATGATTTTGCCCCCGGAACTTCATTATTGCCGAAAAGTTAGCTTTATTGTGGAATAGAAGAGACGCCGATTAAACTACCAAGTCCGAACTTCTCATTTTACCCTCCAGAAGTTGTTGACGGTTTAAATATGAATTTTCCCACCTGCCGACCCACCCGTCTTTCCTCGCGGGACCTTTTCGCCCTGGAAAATAGTACCACCCTCGACGTTTATAACCCCATTCATTAGATAAGGTAGTGATATCGGCATGGAGGTGGTTTAGAAACCAGCGTAAACTACGAACATCTATCTAGCGAAGCATGTTTATGAAATTTTCAATTTGTTTAATGATTTGTGTTGAGATAGTAATGACAATATTATGATAATGAAAAATACATTAGAAAATACACACATGCCACGGCGTGTGGCTTGGCGAGGCCGGTCTGAAATTTGTCATACCTCACGCCGTGGGCACGTAAGACTCGTTTATGCTCGAGGTCGCCCGGCCATCCAGCTAACGAATGTTTAATGCCGGAAGCTGTTGAATCGCACTTCTGCATAGCATGAATTTTAATCAATTCGTCTATGTGGAGATTATCGGACGCTCTGAATTTGGCGCCTGGAGTGACTCCCAGGACATTTTTATGGTCCTTGAAATTAACGAATGATGAATACAATCATATAATAAACGAATAATCATAATTATTCAGAAATCGTGAGATGCGGTCTGGTGTGATGTAGGTTTCAGAAAAACATTTTCTTTATATTCAAATTATATTATATATTTTTTTTATATTCAATCAAAGTATTTCTACTCACTCAGTGTTTGTCTTCTGTCTAATTGTGCCGTGAAATACTTTGATTGAATGTAAAAAAAATATATTTTGCATTGTATAAATTCACTTTTTCACATCCTAAATGTATTTGTTAAATGTAAAAAATGTAAATCCCAGGCCCTGAAGATGATCTCAATAAAGGTCGAAACGTTGGCACGATAAAGAAAATGTTTTTCTGAAACCTACATCACACCAGACCGCATCTCACGATTTCTGAATAATTATCGATTAACGGTCACTAATCACNCATAAGGCCAATAAAATAAAATTAAAAAAAAATCAATAATCTCAATAAAGATCGAAAGGTTGCCACGATAAAGAAAATGTTTTTCTGAAACCTACATCACACCAGACCGCATCTCACGATTTCTGAATAATTATCGATTAACGGTCACTAATCACCACAAATAACCATAATGATTAACGATGTAGCGCAATTATTTTCCTTCTTAGCATAAATTTGAATCAAATGTTCGTCTAGGTGATTAATATCGGACGCCTTGAATTTGGCGCCTGGAGTGACTCCCAATACCTTTCAATGTTCCTTGAAACCAACGAATTATAATTTACAATCAAATAATAAACGAATAACCGTGATAATTAACGATGTAGCGAAATTATTCTCATTCTTAGCATAAATTTAAATCAAAGGTTCGTTTATGTGATGATAATCGGACGCCCTGAATTTGGCGCCTTGAGTGACTCCCAGTACCCTTTAATGTTCCTTAAAACTAACGAAGGATGAACCGACCCGACCGTCAGGATATTACCAATAAGCTTGAGATCAGGCATGCGGTCATCAAAACAAGTTTTTGTTGCATATGCCAAGTTTCAACCTTCATCAAGGTCTTCATCAGGGCTCTACAAGTAATTACAACGTTTATAATTAACAATAGGTATCACAATAATTGTCTGAAAACAGCGGATAACTCGTCACAATATTAAAAGTAAAGTATTATAATAACAGTAAAAACAACAATACATGTATATGTAACAATTGAGAGGTAACCAATTTTGGTAGACACAAAATGACTTAGATGTAGATGTAGATGTAATATTTCAGGGTATGGTATACTGCGCCCTTTAAGAGCTATTGTATCCCCCGTGCTCTGCCTAAGGGCGCTGACGCACGGAGCGGTTTTGCTAGATTGTGACACATGCAGCGGTATGATGTGCGTTTTGGCCGAAGCGGTTTTGTTTTCTCTCAGTTATTAAATGTATCCTACAGTAGTGCATATAAGCATTGAACGTCGCAAGGTGTTATTTTGCAGTTTGTATAACAAGTCCTGTTTAATAAATATATTGTTCTGTAACTGTATGTAACTTCGTGTATTAGTTACAGCCTTACAGACCATTCCCCCCATGCAGTACTTTTTTTTTTTTTGATGAACATTCCATGGAACTGGCTACAAAGTGAAATCTCACAGTTATCTACACACTACGTCTCGTTCGGTTTTCTTTTCTCTATGAAGTTTTGAAAAATAGTCTTTAAAAATAAATATTTAAGTTGATTTATATTTAGCTGGGATCTCGGGTAGCCGAGTAGGCGTGTCAGACTCTCGGCTTAGATCCTGCAGTTGTAGGTTCGATTCCCGTTTCGCTCCCCCCAACAAAAAAAAATCAATCCTCTCTGATCAATAAAAGTAAAGTAATTCCTGTTCAGAGTCAAGCAAGGTTTAAACTACTTTTCATTTTTCATACTATAATTTAAAAGGCACAGAGCTGGGATTTGAACGAGGTCCCCTTCTTCCTCCAGATAATATTCAAAACAAAATCTTTATTAAACTAGTTACTACCATGTATCACCGACAGTCATACGCATACTTTGTACCCGTAAAGCTGTAGAAATCATTTAATTATAGGGTGATGTACTTTCAGTAGTTGTAAAGTTAAAAGAGGCCCTGGAGGAAGATGAGTTCGTTTTAAAAAACGGTTGTTACTGTACAGCACCGTACAATCTGTAAATACTTAGATTTTTAGTGGTGGTTAAATATCAATATGTAACGCTCTGTGTCAGGAAGTTGAGAATTAGCTAAAATTCGATTATTTATTAATCTTATTGAACTGGCATTGGCCCATTCCCCATGGATGAAGAGATACTTCTGGTGTCGTTGGAAGAAGAGAAGGGAGAAAAACCACAGGAGAATGTGGGTTCATCCAATTGTCGAGAAGAGAAGCGAAAGAGGGCATTTTAAGAATTTGTTTTCAGAGATGAGGAAACACCCTGAAGAATGTTTTAACTTTACCAGGATGTAAATGGGCAGTTTTGACGAGTTACATAGTAAAATAAAATGCCGCATTACAAATTTTTTTTTCCACGTCTATTTTTTTGCATCTTAAAAGTAAATGAGAAGACTGACAAACAAACAACCCTTCAAGAAAGTGGGGTACGAACAGCTCAAATAAACGCCACGTGTGTCAGGGCTGATGCAATACTTGGGACCACTCACCGCCTGGCGTTTTCAAAACCGACGCGTTGGGTCGTCTCCGCCACCGACCGACTTGGTTTGAGAACCGACAGGCGGTTACGACCGCTACGTCTGTCAGGTTAATGCAACAACAATGAACGACTCACTGCCTCGATTTTTCTCGCGATAAACACTTCGGTCAAAACCGCTCCGTGTGTCATCGCCCTAAAGCACATCGGTGAGCCCTAGTTCATCAAGAAACTTGACTTAATTCAGCCAGAAAGGACCAAATTTATTATTAATATTAAGGATTATTGATATTCAATTAATTAAGGGTTTTAAGTTGAGATAAAAAGTCAGTGTCACAAGCGGGATTCGAACCCACGACCTTCGGCTCAATACGCCGCTGCTTCTAACCACTTACCGAGTCACGATAGCTGAAGCGGTTAGAGCAGGGGCGTATTGAGCTGAAGGTCGTGGGTTCGAATCCCGCTAGTGACTCTAGCTTTTTCATCTCAACCAATACCTTACATAAAAAGAATAATTACTTGTTTTTATTGTTATCATAATAATATTTAACTTTTAATATTGTGACGAGTAAGCTATCCAATGTTTTTTGATAATTATTATGCTGCCTATTATTAATTATAATCTTTGTAATTATTTAACTAACTTGTTTTGATGGTCGCATCCCTGAACTCTAACCTACTGCTAACGAATAATGATGTACAATAAACGCATAACAATGACGATTCTGAATGATTCATCGCCTTAAATTACTCATTACGGCAGAAATTAAAAATTAATAGAGAACGTAAAACAAAGAATTTTTTTCGGGCTAACAAACTGTCAAACCGCCTGAAACTTAGATAAACATTAATCCTTCATTCGTTGTAAACAGTGATCAATAATGATGAGAAAAATCCCAAATTACTCTCATGAAACCAGATTTATTACTATAAATATAAACAATCGAAAATTTTAAATAATTATCAAGCTTTATTGGCATATTGTTTTGGACGGGGAGTTTTAAAGCTTAAAGAACCTGTGTACAAACGTACGGAACGATTGTTTTACCACTTTATTCCTAACAAGCTGAACTGAAAGTCTTCTTTTCTGTAACTGGGTGCTTGTACATAAAGTACGTACTTAAATCTACTTAACCTTATTTTGTTTATGAAATTGAGTAGCGATTAATTTTAAGCAAACGCAGCCTCCACATCTTCCTTCTTAATCCTATTATTTCACGTTAACTCTAGTAGGTTAGTTATGTTGTTTTTAATTTTTATTTATACTTAGTTTTTATATCGGATTCGATGTCTCATCAATGAATTGTTTCTCTAAAGAGAGTCTGACCCCTTTTTGGATCAATACAAATAGAAATGTCCGATTAATGCGGCAATCACTCTAATGACGCGCCATCGTCAGCAAGATTGGTTAATTAACTGTTAAACAAACTCAGCACAAACTTATCTTGCTGACTCCTAATCCATTTTGCTGCTAGACAAGAATCAAGGC